ATTCGAGAAGGCTTAGGGTATGGAGAGAACCGGGAAATCTTATTCGGTTGGATCATGTTCAGGAAGTGCATCCGTATCAAGGTGGAGCAATTATGGTCTTGGGAGGAGTCCAGTTAGGCCGAAAAACCGATCTCGTTTTTCTTGAAAGGTTTCTAACAGGAATCACATATCGTGATTTAATTCTTGAGCCTGTCGTGTTATCATATGCCAATGATTTTGGGAGAAACTTCATTCTCATGCATGACAATGCACGGCCTCATACAGCCAGAGTGGTAAGTGAGTTTATCAATGCTCATCAATTAAACATCTTACTCTGGCCGGCACAATCTCCTGACCTCAACCCCATCGAGCACATATGGGACGCGGTCCAAAGAAAAATTTTGAGAATCGGTATGCCTCGTAAATCTCGTAGGGATCTGGTTCGGGCCGTGAATGCAGCGTGGCAGGCTGTACCTCAAGAAGAGATCGACAACCTGATTAGGAGCGTGGAGAGACGATGTAGGGCTATAATGAACAGTAGAGGAGGCCATACCCTTTATTAAGTAAAATTGGTTTTATCTTTTTTTTTAATTCACAGTTTAGAATAAAAAAAAAGTGTGTATTTTTTGAGTCCAATAAAAATCAAGGTAAATTCGAAAAATTCGGTAAATTTCTTTTAAAAAAGCGAAATGCAAATAATAAAATTACTGACGATGGCTGGATAAAATTTTAATACCCCTAGACTTTTCCGGTGTGTGTATTTAAAAACAATTGTGTGTGCATATTTTAAGTGAAACTTCTTACTTGTCTGTGCGTCCGTCAGAGGACTCCATTCGGGTACCTCTATCCACGTGCCGAGTTTGGTTCCAATCGACCCATAATTAAGAAAAATCCTTATGATTTCGCCCATTTAGAGGCATCAGTTCGAAACGTCGATGGCGTCATCTTGTAGCCCATCCCAAATTATGCCGAAATCGTCCCACATTTTTCTTCAATATCAAATCCTTAGTCCCACCTTGATAAAGATGTAAACGAAAAGAATATGCATCCATTGAAATTTTCAGAGATGCAGTTTCACTACCATCATATCCAGTTGGATCGCCAACCTCCGAAGAGCGACGGCGACCTAAGGAAAGGAAGAAACAGTTGCAAAGTTTTGCCCAACTTTTCTTCCTGCAGAACACCAAAGGCGTATGCTGAAGCAATAAAGGTCTTTAAAAAGTTTCAAGTGAAAAAATAACGAGCTCGTATTTAGGATGTAGTTATCTACACTGCGTTACTTTGGGCCTATAATTCCACTCCTCTTCTACTACGCCTTATCCACGTCCCTTTCGCTCGTTATATCGACATTGAACGATCGCGGCAGCATTCAATCCCGCCGACCTTTACCTCGCTCCCTCGCCCCTTTTCACCGTTTCGCCGATTGATCCGTCCTCAGGGATCTGTCACTGTCACCGTCTCTCCGTCGTCGTCGTCTTCTGTGCGCCTTTGCCGCTCCGCATCATCGTCATCGATTTCGGATGTAGACGTTAGAAGAAGTAGATGACAGTAGTAGTAGATGAAGTAGATGACAGAAGTAGTAGAGATTTTGAGTCTTTAGATGTAACTCGTTCTACTATTATATAAGTAAAATATTTTTTGTTAATATCACCTTCATTAACAGCTATAAATATTTTTCGAGTTGTAATTTTTAACGATGGTCCGAGGATACCATCAAATTTCAAATTGGATATAAAATAAATAAATAAATAAAAACGCCTTTATTTTTAACTCGGCGAAATTCAGCTGAGCTGTTAGTTTAACCAAAGGTTTAACCGAGCATTAAAAAAAATACAATTATAAGTTTAAAATAAAAATAAAAAGTTTCACGATATTATCTACCTATCATAATATACTACGAAAAAAAATACAAAAAAAAACAAAAAGGACAAAAAAGAAACAAAAAAAGGATAACCACTATAACCACCTAGTTATTTGTCTGTAAAATTAAATTCAATTTCAATTCAAAAATACTTTATTGTTAAAAAATATATAAATTTTTGTTAACAAAGCATAATATTCCTAAATCTAAACCTAAAACATTGCCAGCAATCTTAACATTAAAAAACAGTTTTATGAAAAGTAAACAAATGCGTGTAAATGATGCTTTTTAAATTTTGATTTAAATGTGCGAAACGATATATTGTTTGATTGACTGATAATGGGATACTGGTTAAGCAGTTTAACTGATGCATATGAGAAGCAGCTCCGGGTCCGGATAGTGCGTATTAAAACGAGTTTCGCGTGGATGAATATTGTCCCTACGTGTTAGTTTTACAAACAAATATGAAGGGCTCTCAGATTTAATTAATTTATGCAGGAAGCAAGCAAAATTAAGTTTTTGTCGATCCGATATATTTAGCCACTTTAGATCATGAAGTTTGTGGCTCACGTGATCACTACGTTTGAGGTTATAAATAAAACGAATGCAAGAGTTCTGAACTTTTTGCAATTTGAATTTGGTTGAAACATCCAAACAAGGTCCATATATAAAATTACAGTAATTCAAATGACTTAAGACAAGTGCTTCGCATAATTTTTTTTAACCCAAAGCTAAGAACATCTTTGCTTTTATAGATGTTGCGGAGATTAATATAGGCTTTTTGGAGAACTTTTGATACTTGAATGCGAAATCGAAGTGTGCTGTCGAACACTACACCCAAATTTTTGTACTCGTCAACAATATGGATTCTTACACCATTTATTGACACGTTCAAAGTCTGAGCTGCCCAATTCTTGGCTGGTGCAAAGTATATAATAGCTGACTTATTTGGGTTCAGTTTTAGGCCGTGATTTTGTGAATATTTAAAGATGGATTCTAGACAATCATTAAGTCTCCTTGAGGCTTCCACTGCATCAGATTGTGAAAATGAAACCCCCCTGGATTTGCGTGTCATCTGCGTATCTGTGACTATTACACTCTTTAAAACAATTCGACATATCCGCTGTGAAAATGATGAAGAAAAGAGGACCCAAAAGTGACCCCTGAGGGACCCCCCTATCAATTTCCAAAGGCATTGACTTTATGTTACTCAATACCACCAGCTGAGACCTGCCGTCCAAATAACTACGGATAAGCTGGACAGTTTTAAATTTAAGTCCGAAATGGCTTAACTTGGCACAAAGCAGAGCGTGGTTGAGGGTGTCAAATGCTTTGCTGTAATCTAGTAATACTAGGGCAGATGTTTCTCCCTTGTCTGCTGCCAGTAAGATGTCATCCAGCACTTTTAACAAAGCCGTGGCTGTACTGTATCCTTTACGAAAACCTGACTGCAGTTTGGGTAACAGGTTATTTCTAGTGAAATAGACAATAATTTGTCTGTAAATAAGCTTTTCAAACACCTTAGAAAGCATTGGTGACAAGCTAATGGGACGAAGTTCAGTAATGGTTTTAGGGCTGCTAACTTTTGGTAACGGTATAACTTCCGTCACCTTCCACTGTGAGGGAAAAATGCTTTTTTCTATGCATGATTTATGTATTTCAGTAAGAAAAGGTATGATTGTTGGACAACATAGTCTCAGCATGTGAAGCGAGATCCCATCGGCACCAGATGCATTAGATTTTATTTGTGAGAGGGCCCATACGACATCATCCTCTTGTATAAGTTTGAGTTCAAACTCTGATGTGGTGCATTTAGTATTAAGGTATTTGCTAATGGTATCATGGTTCACATTATTAGGGATTTGTCTAACAGAATCTATAAAGTATTTATTAATCACGTCAGGATTTTTCAAGTGATTAGGGATATCCACATTTTTCTTTGACCTACTGTGTATATTAAGGTGATCGAGAGTTTTCCAGATTTCTCTGAGGTTTTTGGTACGACTTACGTAGTCAATATAAGATTTTTTTTCCGCCCGAACGGCTGACGTGAAAAGATTTTTAATCTCCTTATATGCTTTCCAATCGCGCACGCTTTTAGTCCGTTTATATCTAGAAATAAATTATTGCGATGTTTTTTCATTGCACGCAGGGCATCAGTGAACCAGGGAGAAGGAGGTCTGGTAACCTTTTTCTCAGATATTGGAGCATGACATTCAAAGAGGGCCAAAATCATTTCAGAAAGTAAAGAAACTTTTTCGTTAACATTTTCACAGTTTAAAACCTGCCAGGTTGATAAGATCTTGTGTGTACGTGTTAATGTCAAATTGCTTAAAATTACGATATTTAATAATTTTTGGCCTCGACGCAGATATTTTGATGTTAAGAGTGCAATAGATTAATTGATGATCAGAATGATTGTGCATATCATGGTGTTGAACAGCACCACTTAAAAGACGGTCATCTGACAAGATGATAACGTCAATCAAGCTAGTATTTTCTCGAGAGTATCTGGTGGGATTTAATACAACCTGCTTAAAGTTGAAAGCATCAAGGAGATTGTCGAACTGGTTAGTAACATTAGTATGTCTCAACAGGTTGATATTAATGTCACCCATTATAACTAGTTCATCTGTTAAAGGAACAACGTTGGCTATAGTGTCTTCCAACTGATGTAACGCATTTAGAGCGTTATAATTTGGAGGACGTTAGAATATGGAAAGTCCGATTTTAACCTTGTTAATTTTCAAGATAAGCCACTGTTGCTCAAAGCTTCCCGTTTTGTTCTCCACAACATTTAAGTCCGATCGAACATAAAAACTTATGCCCCCTCCTCTGGATTCCCGATCAACTCGAAAGAAATTAAAATTTTGTATGTAAATATCAGCATCAGTTGTGTTATTGTTAAGCCATGACTCAAATACTCCCAATATACCCAGCTCTAAGTCATTTATCAATGTCTTGATTTTATAAAAACTTGGTAATAAAGATCGCACATTTATATGACCTATTTTTAAGTTGTTTTCCTTATTTTGACTATTCATAAAGATAGAAAAAAGTTAAGTGGTAAGCAAGTGGATAAAAACTAAAAACAGAAATAACAAAACGGAATTATAACAGAAACAGATAAAAATAAAGAAAAAATAACACGGATAAGAGTTTATTTCAGTAAGTCTTTAAGGTGACTTTCATTGCGGACAGCAACAACTTTGGAATCATCATTCTTGCGTGATAATATTTTCCCATCTCGATGCCACACATATTTGTAGCCGACACCTCGAAGTTCTTCCTTGGCCTTTTTAAAGAGCGCATATGTCTCTTTTGTAAGCTCCTCATCAACAAAAATTCTATCATTCGAATCAGAAAATTTAGTATTTTTTAGTGTCAGTTTTCCTTTTCTGCCACGAGATTGAAGTATTAGCTTTTTATGTTCTGGTTTTACGGTAACGATGACTGTTGTACCGCTATTTGTTGGCACTTGTCTGAAGTTGGATATATCGTTTGAGGTCAAGGGCGTGTCCAAGAAAGAAAATAGGGTTAGGGTTTTTATAAGTGCTTGTTCCTGAGTTTCTTCTTTAGCAGTGAGGCCCGTAATTGACAAGTTGTTTTCAATCTTTTTCATTTGCACAGTGTTAGATACTGATTTCAATTTGTCAACTTCAGCTTTCAGAACTTGATTTTCCTTTGTTATCTCGCCTACTATATCTTCCAACACCTTTGACCGTTTCTTTTCCTCATCAAACTGCTCACTCAGAAAATCCAGTGACCTTATTATCTCTTTATTCTCATCTTGCAAGTTTATAATGAGAAGTTCTGAACAAGCGCAGAGAAAAAGTGCTTTCGAAAGAAACAACACATTACAAATCAATATAAAATAATACAATATAGGAATACAGGTTGTTTATAAATGAGGGTCTTTCGAGAAAATTTGTAAATGAGTTAGATTTAAAAAATATAACATATAGTCGACTCTTCATGGTCTACAGATAGAAAATCAATGACTCAAAGAGTGTTTGTTTGTATTTTCTCAAAGCATCAGGTAAGGATTGGCCATATTAATAGCGTGTAAGAAGAGGTGGAAAATGTTTGGCGGTAATCGTTATTTCCTTGATTGAATTTACTTAAAACTGAAAACTTGATACACGTCTTTTATGCATCAAAATACCTCTTTTGGTGTACAAATATTTTTATTTATTTGAACCAGTGCCGTCCATACGAGTTTTAAATTGAGTGACTTCTCTCTTAAAATAAAAATTATTTTCCAAATCTCCATTTATTTCTAAAAAAATATCTCTTGATTTTTTTCGCCTGACGCATAGTTTTGCTTAAAAAAATTAAGTCAGTTTATTTTAGGGTCAAATCGCTGAAAATATGATGCGATGACTGTTGTTGTTGACTGTTGACTTGTGGACTGTGTTGAAATCATTTGTGCATGCTGAAAATAAGAAATAAAATAATTTTGTTATATGTATATCAAAATAAGCATTTTGACGCATGGAAGACGTGTATCAAATATACCATCAGAACTATTTTGAAAAATAAATTAGAAAATTTATATAATATACAGGGTGCTACAAATTCGAGGTACGAGCATTGGTATCTCGGAAACCGTAATAGATACGAAGATGGTTAAATTGGGGCAAAGTTGATTCTTGGGCTGTTCACCAAGATGCCATGAAAAAAAGTTTTAAAAATTTCAAGGATTGCTGAGTTTTTTGGAAAAAACAGATTTTTTTGAAAACTAATTTTATTTTTTCCTGTCGTTACTTTTTAGAAAATCAAAAAACTAATTGCACATTCTCATAGCCACTTTATTGATAGTATTTTTAGATTTTCAAATTAGCTGATAAATTGTGAGATACAGAGGCCAAGTTAATTTTTTTAAATACGGACCTGCAATTTTTTATTTCAGATTTTGAAAGAACTCAATCTCCTGAGTACAACGATATGCCATACTTTATACCTTTTTTTGTTTTGGGTGTCCCTTAACAGCAACAAAACTATTTAATTATAATTTAAAAAAATTTCAAGTCCGACTCTGTTTTTTAAATTATTTAATCTGCTTATATTCATCGCAACAATATTGATCAGTGCTAATTAACATTGAATAAGAAAAATTGAGCCAAATGAAAGATTCAAATAAATAATATCCAGATCAGCAATTTAAAGATATTATTTTTAACTTTTCTTATTGTGAATTTGAAATTCTCAGTGTACGATCTAATAATTTGCATAATATTAATCGTAGTTATTATGAATAAATTAACTTCTACGAACTAGTTTCAAATGCTTTACATAGTCTACATGTTCGAAAGGGTTACCAGCCTCCATATTGCACAAATTTATTTTTCATTCAATTTTATTTATAGCTTTTGAATAGATCTTCTTATACATTCGAATGTATTTTGTACTCTTTATTGTAACAGCCGAGATATGTTGATTTTACTTTTTTGTTAAAATTTGGACCTGTCGAATTACTTGACGTCATCAGACGGTCCAGGTACCTCGCTGGCCATATTTCAAATCCATGTTCCGGGGAAATGAGTTGATTGTTTATATTACATTTTATTTATATTATTTTTTTTATTGCATTTGATTTTCCGTAATCAACCTACGTCACTGTTAAGTTTGAAAGCTTATCAATATTGAAACGATGCATATATTAAATATTAAAAAAACAGAGCCGGACTTGAAATTAGTTTAAATCAATTGTGTCCTAATTTCCAAAACAAAAAAAATATTAAGTGTGGCATATCATTGTACTCGGGAGAGCGAGTTCTTTCAAAATCTGAAATTAAAAATGCAGGCTCGTATTTAAAAAAAATAAGTTGGCCTCTGTATCTCACAAATTATCATCTGATTTGAAAATCTAAAAATACTATCAAATATCCCTAATAAAGTGGCTATGAGAATGTGCAATTAGTTTTTTGATTTTCTAAAAAGTATCGACAGGAAAAAATAAAATTGATTTTCAAAAATATCCGTTTTTTCCAAAAAACTCAGCAATTCTTGAAATTGTTAAAACTTTTTTAATGGCATCTTGGTGAACATCCCAAAGCGCAACTTTGCCCCAATTTAAGCATGTTCGTATCTATTACGGTTACCGAGTTACCAATGCTCGTACCTCGAATTTGTAGCACCCTGTATAGGTCCAAGAATCATCTCCTTAAATATTAGCATGTCATTCAGGTGTTCCCTGTATAACTTCGTGCTAATGTGGGTGGTTTTATAGAAGATATCTTGGAGGATATCAACTTCTTTCATTGGCAACTTAGGTTCCAAGTGGAGGCTTGTTCTTCTTATAACGATCTGATCAGTGTAGATGACCGGGGAATGTAGCACTGACTTATAGGAAACCGTTAGAGAAAGAGATTTGTAACGTTGAAATCCAGAGCGGACTAACAATGCAGATGAAAACCGCGGTGTGATGAAGTGATAATTTAATGAGAATTATAGATTTGCAGGCAACAAGCTAATTGTGATTCAGGATAGAAAACGAGGGAACAATTTAAGGAGATACATATCCCCTCAACTTTTGACAAAAATTAGAGAAGACAAAGTTTGCACACAAGCTCGCAACCAATAGCTTCAGCAATACTGTTTGGTGTTAATATAAATTTTAAAAAAATGATAAGAAAGAAATTCACGGGGAAGGGCAGAATACATATCTCGAAAAAATTACGTATTTTTTTAAAGCGTATTTTTGAATTGGAAGTCAGACAAAGACGCAGATCAATTGGCAGACCAAACACCAGATAGACTAATGATATAAAATGATGAATCGAACCAACTGGATGAAAGAAGCGCAGACCAAAAGAGCAATAATGAAAAAAGGAAGGCCTGTAGGCATGCTGTGGAAAGAAGTATGCATATCTGTACCCTAGAAGCAAACAATGTTAAGTCCAAAATTGGCATATTTGAGTCACTCCAAAAAATGTAGCTTTAATTTATATAAAAAAACTGTTTAACATTTCAGTTAAGTTCAAAATAAGTTATTTATATACCAAATATTACAATCATATTACAACAACTGCAACCTATTCACTTACTGCAACAGATATCATAATATACTTAGACGTTATTATACCAGGCTATTTTTTAACGATGGTAGAGTCTGCTATAGAGTAAGATGTGGAGTATTAGGGCCGAAACAAGAATTACCTCTCCATGTAAGCCAATCTAATGATTTCATAATTTTCTAGGCGAAATTTATGGCAATCCATAATTGCGTAGAAAAAAATAATAAGACAGTAAAGAACACATCGTTCGGTGGCTATCTTCACACATAGCTAAGCAGCGCTAAAGGTACTCAGTTTCGCGGAGATCAATTCTAGACTAGTGTGCTCTAAATACTTTGAGTAAGCGTAGCAATATTACGTTATCCTGGGTACCAGGACACGTGGGTCACAAGGGTAACGAAAAAGTAGATTAAATGGGCAAACAACGCTCATGAATGCCATTCATAGTCCCAGAACCCTTTACGGCATTGCAAAAGCACTCGCGAGAATGGCCACAAAACAATGGGTGGTCAACAAATCTTCAGAATGGTGAAGAAATTCACCAGGGCAGAAACAGACCAAAAAGTTCATAATAGAACATTCGCCAAAATTCACGACAGTCTTGATAAGCAAACACAGAAAGACAGTAGAAGCTGTAGTAGATCTATTAACTAAAGCTGAATAGGCATCTAAAGCTAACGGGATTGACGGATAAAGCTATAATATGCAGGCTGTCAATGTGAAGTAGAAACTATAGAACACATTTTATGTCGATGCGACTTATTGGCAAATGTGCGGTTCTCGGTAAAGGTTGATTCTCACTATACCTTCCGTTTCCATTCCATATCCATGCCATATTCGTTCCGTATTTTTATTGTATTGACGCTATACGTAAGCTCCCAAGAAACATTTTTTGTTTTATAAGTGTGTTAGGAAACTTCCCAACACCATTATATAACACTCATATGCCCTAAACGGTGCCTTTTATAACTGTTCCTGTGGTAATCCTCAACACTCAAGGTGTGCAACCAAAGTCCTGAAAACTTTCTCAACACCTTTATATATCCTATCGAGTTACCGCTATAAAACTGAAAAAGGATATATAATAGTTATATAGTGGTGTTGAGAAGGTTCCCAGAGATTACCTCCATGCGCCTTTTTTGAAAATAAACTTGTTTCTTTCTGACTAACTACTTTAATATTTGCCTCTTTTTTTAACATCAATAGCAGATATGATCTTATTGCTCCAAGTTGTCCTACGCAGATAATCCAGACCAGACACAAAAGACAAAATGATGCCATCCCTGTCATAGTCTACAAAAGCGTTCGCGTTATGCAAATGACTTTATAGAAATTACTGGCTTAATAAAATCTATTGTGCCTAGCCAGAGTACTAAATACATATGCGATATTAAATTTACTGTGTGAAAATCAATTTTACCTCCAAAAAACACATGCACCCCCAAAATCAGAATTATTCAATAGATTTTTTTATAAACAAAAAAAATATGTTAAAATTTTTGTAATGAAAGTCAAATTTATTATTATAAATAATAGAACATACGACTTTTTTAATAAATAGAAATAACTGGCAACTGGCCAAAATATAGTTTTGTACCAGTTTTCAACGTTATCTTAGAAATATTCATTGTAGCCAAAAATGAAGACATCAATAATAATGGCGTCCATTATATTTAGAGTGCTATACATATATTACTTTAGGGTCTATAACATACTCATCAACCATTATATAAATTTGGTTACTTAAGGTTGCGTAAATGAGTTTGGGTTATTTAAAACACCAATCTTAGTGTTTTATACGACTAAAGGTGATACAAATCACCATTATAAATCCTGGGGTGTTTATGACTACTTTTAGTCACCCAGAAAACCTTTATGTTACCCGTGGTGTCGACTGTAGCGACTCTCTGCGAACGAAGTTTGGCATTACAGTAATTTGACAGAAAATGTGCAGTAAACAAAACATAACCTCATAAAATTGAAATAATACTGAGAGTGTGCATTGTCCTATTCATTTACATGCTATAATATTTTATGTAAATGGAAGGAAGCTGATACGGAAGGTATAGTGAGAATCAACCTTAATAGGCAATGATAGGCCAGTGCCAGTGAGCTACATGGGGGATTCAGTTTCCAAGTTGCTAAACTTTGTGAAAAGATACGACTGAAGAATGTAATCTAAGGATCAGAAGAAGACCATAATAGATCTGAAAAGCTCGCAGTGGATCAGGCCGATAGCTACCTCAAAGAATATAATCTAATGTAAAGATGCAACGTTTTTTTGTTTTTTGTCAAAGGACCTATGTCCTTCTATCTCTTACTTTTAAACTCCATGGTCGCGGCACGGGAAACTATTCTGAGGACGGGCGGCGATCGGCGGTCGACGTGATTAACAGGCGTTAGACGTGCGGTTTAACAATGCGTTTCCTTTATTAATCGCGCCGAGACCGGCCATCGATCAAACGGATCAAAGGGGCCGCGATCGCTGATGGCGCGCCATCTCGGGAGAGATGGCCAGGTGACATAGGCGGAGTACGAATGTGGAGAAAATTGAGCCGGGGCATCGGACGAAACGTTGTGGAATAATGGTCTAAATTCGTTCTTAGTTTTGAATGAATACATTAGTAGGCATAATATTTCTTATCAGCTCATAAATGCATTTTATTACTAGATAATAACATGTTCCCGTCATCGCTTTGTGGCACATAGAACTTTTAAGAGATAATCCTATTTGATCCTATTCTGGACTGTCTCTTTGATCTCTCCCCATGCTTTTCCAACCTCTTGGGTTCAGGTATTCCTTGATCTTTTCCTGATACTTCTTCTCTGTGACTTCTATTCAAGTGCTTGTCTTGCGATATTTTTAAGGAAGGAATTATTACTTATATAAACTCAAAATGAATAAACTGGAGTGCGCCAATATCTCTGTGAAGTAGGCGCAAAATGTGCCCTATCCAGCCTCATTTTCTATTTTCTATTCTTAATTTCTATGTCTATTAATTTTGCAATTTTCTTCTCCAAAGTTCTTCGTTGCTAATTTGGACAGAAAATTCTCAATATTCTTCACAGATACCTACAGGCTACCCATGAGACAACGAGTTCAAACCTTCTATATTTTTTCATACAGGTCCAAGCATGCTAAATACCTCTTTTTATGCCTTATTTCTTCCATCTCATTCTTTCTCTGTGCCTCCATCTCTGTGAACCATAATTCTCAAATACTAAAAATCATTAACTCTATCGATGGCTCGATTGAAGAGGTCTAGGTTTTGATTGTTGGGAATATTTGACTTAATTTCTTCAATCAGTGTTAAAAAAAAATGCACTTACAAAGTCTCTTATTTGTAAAATTACCTTAATAAAGGAACGAAATTGGAAACATATATAATATACCGGGTGCGTCTCAAAAGTGGTTTTTCAGATACAAAAGTGAGATTGGGTGTTAGTATATGACATAAATTAGGATTGATTGATGCATTCAATTATTTTTGGTCACTTCCTGTTTCACGA